ATTTGAATAATGTCCCACATAGCTTGTAATCAACAGAAATTATTAGAGACATGATCAACCTAATAGAACCTAGTCTTCATATAGAAAAAATAAATATTTCGTTGATGTTAATACATTCAGGAAAAACATGTGCCATAAGCTAATTTTGATAGATGTAAATTAATTACCAGTCACTTGCAACAACCAGATCAAAGGCTCCACAGATATCCAAACCTTCAACCTGATCCCAGTGCAGAACCATCGACCTTACCTTAGTACTGCCGAACGAAGCTGAGTTGGCATCTATATTACGCTGTATATCTAGTTGTTAAAGAAGTCCTCCATAAGTAGAAAATTAAAAAGTTAAAACCATATACTATGAAACCCGTAATCGCTTGCCTGCTTTAGATAAGTCAGATGATATTTTTCAATATTTTACATGCTAAGAGCTCCATAAGAGCATCAGTTTAACCAAAATTGCGGAAGATGCATTGAAAAAATCAGAATCAGTAATTTTGAGCATACACTGCAATGTCGAAATTAAACATAGATAATCATAGCAAGATCATCATTTCTAGAGTCGTAAATTCTAAGTTAAGGTTTAAGTCTAAAGGATACAATCAACCACTTGAGGGTTTCCATCAGATATTACGACTTCTGATGCATCGGTTGCTGTGGCAATAACAAAGCCAGCTAACCCGTACCCTGACCCAAGTTCAATTACACTTTTACCCCTGTGAGTGTTTAATGGAAATTGGAAAATGAGTAAAAGCGCAAGAAATGACATTAAGCAAACGGAAAGATCACAAAAACTATAAAACCTGAAGAGATCGAGGTGTGACAAGGAGTAATAAGCAAGTACGTCCTCCGAAGGCCACTGACCTGTTCAGAAAGAACACCCATAAACTCAGAAGTATAATGTAATTAAATTTTGTGAAAATATGCAATTTTAGTAGTGTTTTGGACAGAGAATTTGCACATAACCAATGAGGGATATACATAAGACAAACTTCAGACTTGTTAAATGAGATCCCATTGGTCATGTTCTCTAGCGACACAAAAATGAACTTCTAGGAATATTGTCCAGCGGAATAGCTCCTTTACAAATTAGAAAACATACATGCTGAAGGTCCTGAAGGGTTACCACCACTGACATATTTAACGCTAATAAATTTCCAATTAATCTAGTAATCCTGGAACTAGGATCCCCATAATCGACTCATGATGATTAACGATTTTTGTAAATAGCATGATAACAACTATGAAAATACTCCAGTTCTCCGGTACTTAGCATAAAGAAAATGATACTTAAACAACAGCCATGATTCTCCAAGATAGAATATTATATATAATCTTTAAAACCGAATGAATATTTCTGCCTAAAAGTATAAATGCTTTCCAGATTTGCTTGTTTCTTGCAATACATCCACCGCATGTCTACTGAAGGATATGTAAAATGAAGTAATATTAAGGAAGCAATTGCTAACAACAAAAATTGTTCAAAGAATAAGGACTGTCTGTACTGTAGCTCCTATATTCAGCAGCAAGTGCAAACTGAAAACATTCAGAAAGCTACGTTGTTCACTAATTCTCATTATCTAATCACCAATCAGTTCCAGCCATTAGTAACTTAAGAAAAATACAGGAAATGTCTTCATTTCCTATAAAATACTTTTCTCACTCACCGTTTACTTTTATTTCTTTTTAATCACCAATCATAACTACTTCATTAGAGAAACATCACACCAAATAACTTTATTACACTTTTATCCCACATTCACGCCGAGCAGTATAAGCAGCCACACGACCCACACCACAAATATGTTTTTAATTCAATCTTATTTAATTTGACATTTTTGGACCAGCAGTCAGACCTTAACAACAAGGTCTCACTGTACAACCCAACCTACATTTCCATGTTTGCCTTATTTTGCTCGCTTGTTCCAAGGATTATATTAGATAGGTCATATTAAGAGTTATTTTCTCTTGCAAGTATAGCATAATTACAAACACAAATCCTAAGATACAGCCTGATAAGAAAAGTTCTATTTTAAATTGTCATGTTTCCAATACAAATAATCCATTGAGATTTGTTAATCTTTGTCAATTACCCCCCTCAAAGGAGTAATTTGTGAAATATAAACACATGTAAGCACTTTAAGCTTACAACACTTCAAGTTGTTATTTTGTAAATAGCAACAAATTTGGCACTTGCATGTTTAGCTTACGGATTTTGGAGGGTTATTTTGCAAATTGCATAAACCTCAAGGATGTATGTGCAATTCCTACAATAGTTATTATCATTGTGTTTTTCAGCCTACAAATTTTGTAATACTCATAAATCGCAACGAACCCAGGCACTGCACCACTTATGAGTTTCATTACCAAAATGAACTACAAAAAACATGGATAGAGAACCTACGCTACTATTTCCCAGGGAACATTCGGCGACAATCATGTTCAAGTGAAAGTCAACGTAAATCATACATCTGCCTATATTATCGATAGATTAATGGATATGGACTCAACTTAATGAATGGATGTATTCACAGAAGGTCAACAGTTAAACGAAAGAACAATAAACGTCCTCACGTTACATATCTAAAGTTGGAATGCCCAACTTACTACTACTTTTGAATGAAAAGTAAGCCCTCATTTTTAAATTACAATTCTCTGTCACGAACTTACTAGACAACGAAAAAGAGAACAAAAGAAAAAGGCTGCCTTCCAAATTTTAAGAACTGTAACACTGGACAAGAATAGGAATATACATCAATATAAATTAAACTTCTTTGACAAAGAGAAATATTTCCATGCTGTAAAACGACAAAAACATCAATTGCTGCAGAACTTGAGGTTTTGCAGTTTTATCAAGCATTGAGAAAGAGGAAACTTACAATAGCTAGATCTCCTTTGGCAAATTAATTTCCTAACTTTAAGCAGCTAGTCAGAAGAATATAAAAAAATGAGGAAAAAATCTAACCATATCTCAACACGCATGATACATGAAAGCATTTGATACTACTTAACAAATCTCATGAAAGAACGCACTAGATTAATCTTTGTCTAATATGGCAATATCCTAAGAAGATTTAAAGCAACAAAAACAAATAAAAGGTCTATGTAGGCACCTCAAGCAGCTCAGAAACTGCCAGTGCTGAAGCCTGGAGAGAATTAGTGCTCAAGAAAGGAGTTGGTCTATGAAAGAACATTCACGAAAATGTATAACCTGTTACTCTTTCTTGAACAGGATTTGCATTTCGTATGACTTTAAAAAGACTGCTACAATAACGACGGATAGTACCAAGTTCGTGTGTTCATTCTTTTACACTGGACTAGTCATAATAGTTCCCTGGAGTATGGTCTAAAATGCATGCATCCAGTCATACTTGTGGAAAGAAATTTAAAAGAGAGAGGGAGAGAAAAGAAAATGACTAAGAGATTGAATAGTTTATACTTACATACAAGTCCGGTGTTGTCGACGTCATATTGATTACAGACTTTATAGTCATTGAGATCAAGACAATCTTCCCATCTTTGACTGCAAAGTAAGACCTTCATTATTTTTACACATATCAGCAGTTGCACTCACGAAAGAAAAGGCAACAATGTACGATGTTACTATGGCAACAAAAACAGCTAAATCTACAAGACTACAACTGCTAATGTATCCCAACAGGCTAATTTTCTTTCTGCAGCCAAATGGATGTTGAGAGAGTAAAAGGGTTAATGAACACAAAACGAGACAACAATATACATCGACACCACTGACATACACCCGTGATTTACAGCTTTTACGCCATATGCAATAACCCTGTGAAGTACAAACATCCAACAAAACTTCAAGCCATAAAGTCCGTAGACTAAGCAACTACAATCTCACTAATACAAAAGTTTTCCTACAATGAAACCTAAAATTTCTACTGCTGATGTAAGGGAAAAATGAATCAATAAAATGGGCAAAAGCCAACCTACATTTCACAGCATGAACAGAAAAGGCATAGTACGTAGCTAAGACAAGTTCGACAAACACTTCCATTTCTAATAATGGGGGTACGATAAAATTTGAATTCGAAATGAAGAGACAATATAAGATTAACATATAGATGAAACACGGGGAAGACAAGTGCAGAACGGAAGCGGGTGTTGTCGGGCTTGATGTCCATAGACGGAAACTCACCGTAGAAAAAGCTTAGGAGCATTATGAAGCGGTAATGAATAGCTGAAACAAGCATCTCTCTTTGGCAAAGCATCTGAACCTTCTTCGCCACCATCGTTCACCAAAACCGCCGGTATCAAATCGAACCCGTTTCTCGTCCTTCGAGATACCTTGTCCAAAATGATTTCTTCGGAGGAGTCCGATGAGTGGCGGCGAAGAAGCGCGCGGCGGAGGATCTGCCACCGCAGAGCAGAAGGTTTTGGGGAGGAATGTGAACGAGCGGGCTCCATTGTTGCGCCTAAATTTGAGTCGACTATCTAGGAAGAACAATAATTTTGACCGAATATAGGTACTTTTTTAAATTGTTTTTTCTCTCGAACTCTTTTTTTTTTTTTTTTTTCTAATGAATTTTTCCAACAAAATCATATTCAAGCCAATGAAATTTTGAAAAAATGTATGTCGAACTGAGTATGCCGACATGTCGATCCAATGTGAGCACATAGAATCATTCATGTCGATTCAACCCAGTATGTGCAAATAGTTAATCGTTCAATTGCAAAGTAAACGTCTCGTCTCTCAAACGCCGATAGCAACTTGTCATTTTACATTTGGTGGGTCTCTTTTATAGCCAACACATTGTTTGTAGTATAAAATTTTGAAAATTGATTGATAACTGAGTAATTTAAAATCTCGTGTCGTTCACTCGACGGGGATCAATACACTCGCAAGTCTATTGGCGATGGACGGGCAGTCGGGCACAGACAACTCAGTGATGTCACTTGACGACGTACATGCGAGGCGGAGGTGCACGACTCTTCGACCATACACGGGCAGACAATTCGACGACGTCTCTCGGCAACACTGCAGGCGATGCACGAGCAGATGACTTGACAACGTTGCAGGTGAGTGGCACGTCGTCGGGTGATTCTTGCACGATGGGATGACCCTAGTGCAACGACTCACATTTTCTCGCCAATAGCTTGTGTTTCTTTGGCAACGGTAGAATTTTCTCGGGCACTCTCAGTAACTGGTATCAGAGAATTGATTGTGACGAAATGCTCGAGAGTGAACGGGAATGGTAAGTGCTCGGTTATGACTCTTGTGCTCGGGACTCGAGCTCGATTATTCATCTTTAATTACGATTAATGGACCTGAAAAGATACTAATAAACACGGAAAAAAAGAATCAAAACAAGTAACACAACACAAAGACAAAAAAAATACTACAAGAAACGGACAATAATGGGCCGAATGACCAAATAAATGAGCCCGACTCACCACAAAATGAACACAATAATAAAGCACAAAAATATACAAAATACATGTGTCCCATAAACTCTCCTAAGCCACCATGACTCAGCAAATATCATGATGTTTTTTTTACCTTTTTATCAACTATAAATAGTAAAAAACAAAAACAAAAAAGGGGACATTATTATACTTAAATAATACACAAAACAGTTACTACAACAATAAATACCTACGATCATTTTCTTACCAATATACTCCTAATAATACACGTTAAGTTTCTATGTTTTGTGCCAATGTCACACAAAACTCTCTCAAAGTCTCAATATGTTCCAATTGTCTGCAATTTATTTCGTTTAAATTTCACGTACTAACAAATTGGCGCAAGAGGAATGGACCATAGTCATTTTGGTCTAATCTTTCCTTCACGAAGTCGGAATTATAGATCCAACAACAATGTCTTCTTCTAGCAACAGCAATGGAAATCAGTATAAACACGAGGATCATACTCTTCCTCTACGAATGTTAGCCAAATCTTCAATAATCATGTTTTTGTCGAAGTTATATATTTATTTGCCCAAATGCTACAAATTTACGTCAAAATCCCAATCCTCCAAATATACCCATAAAAAATCAAATTAGAGTCAATTCATTTCACAAGAAATAAATTATCGTGGTCCTTTTTTTTTACCAAAAAAGGAAAATGAAAAGGTTGTTTTATTCTAACAAACACCATGAAGGTGTTCGGGAAAGTCAAGCCCGATCGGGTGTAGAGTTTAGTTTAAACATACTATTAGTATGATTGGGTGATAATTCTCGGCGTGTTGATATTCGCCATCAAATTAACACAAGTGTCCTCTCAATAGGGATACTTTGGAGATTGTCGCTCTTAAATGTCGCACTGCTAAACCCAAAGCCCGAAAAACCTTAACTCCCCAAGCGACCCGTTCTTGATCTTCCATCACACGTATCTTAATTTGATTATATTCTTTTGCTTGATATAAATTATCCTACTTCTCCCCACACCCTGAGTGAAAAATTGCCTGCCAAAATAAAGGTTTTACAAATCCGCCTCTACAATGAGATATTGATCCTGACTCGCATTTCGGGCAATACACCTATCGGATTGACTTACATATGATAATGGCGCCCTCATATGCCAAACTTGTTCCTTAACTTTAGGGCTCAAAGGTGGTACCATTTGTGTTTCCGAAATCGATTAATATTGCCCCGAATTTCGATCTCGTAAGATCAGCTCACCTCAACCCGACTCTTTAAGCTAGTTTAAGGCATAATTAGTTAACAATTCAGTCTCAGTTTGACTTGTTAAGGAGCAAACTCATTAATTTTACATAAATAGTTCGAATCATTAAGGAGCGAACTCATTAATATTGATAAATGACCCAAGCGATGCTCGATTACTATCTCATTTAAGTAACGAGCAGAACTGAGCTTGGCTTAAAAGTTCAAGCCCGAATTTGAGTACCATGAGCTCGAGCTCGGGTTGAATCGTTTATTCGTTTAAATGGATCAATCATTGAGGAGGCCCAAAGAAATTTTGCCCTTTTTCTGAGCAAGAAAAGCGTTGAGAGAGAGAGAGAGAGAGAGAGAGAGAGAAGCGCGGTTCAACGGCAGCATTTCCCGGCTAAATAAGGTACTCTGCGCAATGGCCGCTCACTTTTCCTTCTCACCAATCTTCTTCCACAGAGATCAATTAACCATATTCTTCGCTCTCTTAATTTCTCTCTCCATTTTCTTCTCATAAAAGCTTTTCCTATTAGGGCTAGGGTTCTAATTGGCCGAATCTGTCTTGCTGCTGCAAACTCTGAAGGGGAAGAATGATGGGAAATTCGAGGATTGTGTGCTGTAATTTCGCGCGCGTGTTTTGCGTATCTGTGTAATTAGGTAGTCGGCGATTGCCCGTTCAGGTCTTACGGTTAGAGATCTGGGATTGTAGAGAGCGAGAGGGTGTAGAAACAGAGTGAAAGAAGAAGAAGAAGAAGAAGGAGAAGAAGAATGAG